TTAAAAATCCTGCAGATACCAGGTCATTTTATGGTACCATTTGGAATAACTTTTTATTTTTATTTTTTTTAATTAAGCTCTTTTTAACTGTCCTTTTAGGTTGTTTTGAGAATGTTCTGTAGGCCACTAATAAAAAAGGACCTCTGTACATTTGTTTGTTGCAAATTTACAGACAATGCAATTGAGGTGTTTACATTGGCTTGTTGGGGTAATATTTCTGTCCACTGACAGCAAAGTTTTCCTTCTGAATTGGCACAAGTGCTACAAGTGCACAAGTTTTATAGTTAATAAAATCTTTAAAAACAAATTACATTAGTTATACTTTATACTTTAATTTCCTTCACTAAAAAGGAAATTGAGTAAAACGGTGTAAAAGGTGTGTGGACGTGGATGAGTAATCTGGCCTCTTGGTATAAAGGAGAAAAAATGCTGGCCCTCGTCACTATCAAAGTTGCCCATCCCTGATGTAATAAATCATGGGATCAGCAGTCGATTGCTTTTGGCTGTTTGCTTCTGGCTGTGTCTGTGTCAATACAGTTGTTGAGCTGCTCTTGCATGTCCGCCTCTTGTTTTATGCTCAAAGTGCTACATAAACATATGTAATATCAGATTACTTTTCTTAGGGAATTAATTATTATTAATTAATTCAGGTTTTGAGAGGACATGATTCTTTATAAATGAAACATGAATTTATTGGCTATTCTAAATTACATTGACCTAAGCTAAGACATACACATACACACACACACATATACAGTTCTGAAGAATGAAAATGATGTTAACGGAGTTCTGAGGAAAGCCCAAAGTTTTAGCAAGATATTCGCTACAGTTCTTGTACTTGCAACCTGAGAGAATCACAAAGCAGAGATTTATCTTACGTTTACTGCTAAAATCAATCATCAGCGCCAGTTCAGCAGATAGAAGATTTCTGTTTGTTACTTGCCTTTGTGACAGCTGAGAAGCGGAGGGGTTTCCTTGTTTGACTGCTTGAGGGAATTCCGTTGCTGATCTGATTTGGCAAGACTTTGAGTTATGCGGAGTTACGAAGCTTCAACGGAGTGGTTGAGTTTTGGATGACTGATCGCTTTGATGGTAAGCATGTGAGCACAAGTTGGAGTGCTATTAACACAGCGAAAGGCGAAAAAGCAAGCCAGGGGGAGCACAGAGAAAACCCTGAGGTCAAGGAGGTTGTCAAAAGGACCTGGTCATAGACCTGCTATTCTTCTCGCTGGACATGGAGCTTTCTGTTTATCGGATTATCAATTTATGCGTTTAACGGTCATGTGGTTCGGGAGTGTCTGTTGCTAGAACATTTCCAGATACCAGGTTCTTTGTTCTGTGGTTTATTAGATAGTTTATTTATGCTGAAGCCAGTCACGAGACTTGGCGCCTGGGCTGACCATGGTTCAGCTTTTACGACTCTCATATGGTTGAGAAGAGATGTTAGTTTTCCGGTGGAATGCGGAGATTCCATCGTTCATTTGTGTGATGTTCGCAAATGCCTTACACATATATGTGCATATGCATGTACAGTATGTGCGAATGCTATGATGACAAACTCCTGTGCTCCACTGCACTCTGAACAAGTAAAAGACACACGAGAGTAGTTTTTTACATTGTTCACATCTGTGTGTAGTTTGGCATGTATGTGGCTAATTATTTTATGTTTGTGTGTAGAGTTACTATGCAAAAATACCATTTTTAGAAAAGTTAAAACAGTTTTCAAAGAAGTGTTTGCTTTTGCAAGATGTGTGTGATGTTTTGTATGTTGTGTGTGTTTTGTGTATAGAGTTTTGAGAAATGGAGCCATAGTTTAAAAAACTGGGTGTAAGCATTTTGAAAAAAAATGTAAGAATTGTGTTTTTTAGCCTTAAACACAATTGTTAACAAAGAGCAATAAATCGTCACGTGGCTGTTGCTTTGGTTAGGGCTCTGATGGTGTTGAGACTGCTTTTTCCTGTGTGTCGTGCTGGAAAGGTCTATGTGTGAAAGAAATGTCAATAATAGCATTATGTTATTACACATTAAGTCTCTCATGATGTTAAAATGTATCCTCTAAGCCACTAGTAGTAAGTTTAATTTTATGCTGTGCTGATACAAAACTGTTGTCTCACTGTTTGTTCCACTGTTCCACTGGCTCAGCTTCACTCTCCAAACCGCCAGAGATGACAGCCAGAACAGGTGAGTCCACTCCAAGGATGTCTTACACAATCTTTGTACAGACTGACAGCTCAGCAGGGGGTGGTCCTCCACCTGTTTATCAGTTTTGTTATCGGCACTATAAGGCAACAAATTCGCCTAAGTGCGATTATCGCCAACGTTTAACGCCTCGTGACTAAACAAAGGGCGCCAATCTGAGTGTGCAAACTGACGTGCAAAACGCACGTCATTTTAAAAAAAAACGCCTCGGGCTCTTCTTTTTGGTTTGACACGCCCCGTTAAAAACTGGCCGACCAATGAGATCGGCGCTTTTGTTCACGTGCCTGGGGCTGCTGAAGTTACAGTAAAACATGACTTGGTGGCGCTCAAGCACAAAACGGTCTTGCCGAGCACACATTGATACCTAACCACGAAGAGGAAGTAAGTAGACCAAGAAGATGCATCGAGGAAAGATGAATGTCCTCGGTCAAAATCGAGGGGTCGAGGGTATGTCCATGTAAACTTCCCTTTTCCACTTGACGAAGTGGAACGCACTTCAAAATGGCAGCGGGGATTCCCCGGAGGGTAAGAGCTTAAGCCGCCTTTCCACTGCACACACATTCGGACACGACTGTCGGAATTCGCCCCCTAGTGGCAGTCGCACGGAAATTTCATTATTATCGTACACGGCAACATGGGAGAGAAGCTTATCCTCGCGGTCTCAGAAAGCCCCTTTCTGTATGATACTTCTCTACAATCATACAGAGACTTTAATAGGAAAAATGAGGCTTGGAAGAGAGTTAGCGAGATTGTCGGTTTGTCAGGTGTGTTTTGTTTGCCAAATTTGCTGAATGTATGCAAATTATTGTCGTGCCTTAATTAGCATCTAGCCTAGTATTCCCATGTATTTACATGCAGTTATTATTCCGCATTTTACAAATTTATTGAGAAAAAAAAATTATGCAATTGTATATTATTTATTTGAAAGAATGAAAAGAGCAGTTTCATGTCTATCCTTGTATTGTTCAACTGGTGGAGGTTGATGTGGGATTTAAGAAGTAATTAGTAATGCAATACATTTTAGTGAGAGTAATTAATACAGTAATCTAATTACACTGTTTTTTAGAGTAACTTACCCAACACTGAAATGACATATCAAAGAATAGTATGTATAAGTTAACATGATTTACAAAGTTATGTAATTGTTTTTAAACTTAAGAGTGGATGAGTGCAGGAAAAAGTGGAGGGATCTCCGGGACGTTTATGTCAGGGAAAGGAGAGAGGAGAAGAAAAGAAAAAGTGGAGCAGCTGCCACCCAAAAACACCCTTGGCGTTACTATCACATCATGTCTTTCCTCCTTCCATTTGTTTCTTCTCGGCCCACATCTGGGAACATTGAGGAGGAAAGAGGAGAAGGGAGAAGAAATGAGGAAGACAGTGCAGAAGTAATAACAGAGGAAAGACAAGAAATGCAGGTAGGAAAGGACATGACAGAAATAAGAAACAGCGTAGAGATCAGTGCAGAAGAAAGTAGGATGGACTGTGTGGTAGAGGACATGACTGGAGAGGAGGAGAGCAGAAAGAGGCAGAGCGCAAAATACTTTGCCCAACCACGACAACGCCGGAGAAGAATTGAAGCAGCATCCGTGTCTTCTTTTGAGCGGAAAATCGTTGAGGCAATATAAACCACCAACACATACTTGTTATTTTACTTGTTACACTAGACATAGTTAATGTTATTATGTTCGTAAAAAAATGCAGACCCTGTTGTATTTTCTTGTAATTTATTAAAAGAAGGTACACTGCCATCTTGTGCCGACTAAACTGACTTGAACGCACCTGACGTCGTAATTACGACTTGTCAACTCATAAGTACGAACGTCCCAGGAGGACTTGAACGCAGCATTAAGCCGCCTTTCCACTGCACACGACATTCGGACACGATTGTCGGAATTCGCCCCCTAGTGGCAGTCGCACGAAAATGAAAAAGAATGAAAAGAGCAGTTTCATGTCTATCCTTGTATTGTTCAACTGGTGGAGGTTGATGTGGGATTTAAGAAGTAATTAGTAATGTAGATCAGCCCACTCTGAAGCGATAGGAGAGTGAGTGGCAGGAGTCTCCAGTGGCTAGGTATCTGAAAATATAAGAAATAAAAAAAGTTCAAGGTAAACATTTAGATGTTATAAATTGCAGGTAATGCTATAAGTTCACAAACACCCAAAACCCAACCATCTCAAAAACCTGTGCAAATCCCTAGATTTAAACAATTTAAAAACATAAAAAAAAAAAAAGATTTGGCCGATTTGTGAGCATTTTTAAATAATTTAAAATGTCCTCAAGTCAATTATGATATTTCACTATATTGACCCTTCGCTAAGCCACGCCCGAAAACCGCCACAGGCCAATCGTGGCTTAGCAACCGTAACTAGGCGCGGGAGGTCTGGCAAGCTTTCGCGCGAGGGAAACATGCCGAAGTGGTGTGCCTATGGATTGTGCAAATCTGATACCCGGTATCCTAAAAGTTTGGACGGGGTGGTGGAATTTTTTCCCTTCCCGAAACCTAAAACCCAAGGGGAGAAAGGCCGGGCGTGGATCAAGCAGTGTGGGAGGCCCCATTCACAACTAAATGTCGACAGGATTAACAAAAACACCTACGTTTGCTCCAAGGTAAGAACACGCTAATGTTAGCTAGCTAGCTAACGCTGCACAGCATTGCTTGGAAATAATTACATTCTTTGTTCATAATGCATATATTTGAACATAAAATAACATGATTAAAGGCAAGACGGAGGCTGACTGACATACTTTAAAATATATTTCAGCATTTTGTTAATCGACGGCCTACCCCCGCGTACCCCAATCCGATCGCGGCTCTCCCGGGGTTACGTTACGTATAAGGAGGGAACATCGGGGCTTGCCGGAGATCTCCAAGGAAAATGTTGGTATGCAAACTTAATCAGTTCATTAACAGTAGTCACTTATGTGCGATCATACCTGTTTACTACCGTGTAGACTTTATTTGGGCAGTGAGATTTCTTACAGAACACAGCATGCTCTCATGCTTTATACAAAGTGCATTTTATTTGTTTCTGGTAAGAAACCAATACAGGATCAAAACCCCAACAAAACAACAGTGTAATAAAATTTAAGTTAAGTTATTAGAAGGGTTTGTTAAACTTTAATGATTTCATGAAGACAACTAAACAATTGTTAAACTGATTGTTTACTGAATCATGTGTGACAGGAAGCCAGCACCTCAAACTCCACTGAGGACACATTTCACAGTACATCACAACAGAGTGACTCTACCTATAGTAAGTTTAAACCACTATTTGTATCTGTTTTTAATTACCAATTGCACATGTTTTTTTCATGCAGCACTGCACAGAAATTTGACGGCTGTGTTGGCAGAGGGAAATCCGGGAAGTCGTTTGACGGCTGGTTTGCAGATAATGGTCCTGCAGAGTCGGAAGGAGAGGAAGCTGTAAAACAGAAGAAAATAACATAAATTAGTAACATTCCATGTTTCCTTTCTCTTTTTTGTCATTTACAGAAGAACATGATATGGGCGACCATGGAGAGCAACTGAGAACTCTGCAGGACGCATTAGCCAATCACAAGCAGGACATCATGAATCTGAAGCTTCAACTCGAGGCAAAGGATGGCCAACGCCATCATCTTCAAAAGGAACTTCAGTATGCACACACCTCAGATGCTTTAAACCCTGAGGTTTTAAACCAAAGCCATGTGTCTGATTATTTCCACTACTGCACAGGGTTTTCTTATGAGCAATTTAACAGCCTGTGTCAATTTTTTAACATTCCAACTGATCCAAGTGCAACACAAACACACATTCTTCTCTCATACAAACGTGTCCATAATGAGATCAAACAACTTTCACTGCGTACTCAATTGTTACTGACCTTAATGAAATTAAGACAAAATTTGGACCACAAAGACCTAGCCTTCAGATTTAACATCCGTTTACAGAGTGTCAGCACACTGATCAACTCCTGGGTGGACTATATGTATGATAGTCTTGGCAAATTGTCTATTTGGCCACACGGGGATGTTATTTCTGAGAACATGCCAGCTAAATTTAAGGAAGAATTTCCGAATACTTTTGCCATCTTAGACTGCACTGAACTTAAGATTCAGAGACCAAGCTCACTAGTGTTTCAGAGTCAGACTTACTCCACCTACAAGTCTACTAACACCCTTAAGTCTCTAGTGGCCTGTGATCCACGAGGTGCAGTCATTTATGTGTCTGCCCTCTTCACCGGAGCAATTTCTGACAAAGAGATTTTCAATGAGTGCAACATCCTTGACATTTTGAAGGGGTACATTCAGTGTGGCTATCTCAATGTAGGAGATGGCTTGATGGTTGATAAAGGCTTTCTAATAGAGAAGGAAGTT